GGCCATTAGCGGGAAGGAGGTCCCTGAGGAAAGGTCTGGATCCTTCCTGGCTTTCTGTACACAGAGCTTCACTAATTGAAGCTTCCAGAAAATAGGGATACTGGGCTCAAGGCTGACCCCTGCCCTTCTCCAGAGAATGGGCAGCCTGGTGCTAGGGACAGGAAGTGACCTCCACAATCCAAAGTCACTTAATGAGCTCTGCACACAGCCAGCCAGAGAGCAGGAGAGCCTGGGGAGATGGAGTGGCCCAGGTACCACACGTGCTTTTGTGAGGGGCACCATGACACAGCACATATCACATCCCTACATACACATATACCCACACATACACATACTCATATGTATACTCTCCCACGCACACACCCACACATGCACTGTCACATGCACACACCTTTATACACATACACCATCACATACACATCCTAACATACACACTCTCACATGCACACAGCCTCATATGCATACAGTGTTACATGCACACTCTCACATGTACACACCTTTACATATGTACTGACATGTACACCCGCACATGCACATACCTTTGAGTGTACACCCTCTCACAGGCCTGTGTGTTCTACACCAAGAGCATGCCAGCAGATGAAGGCAGCCACCTCTGCCATCCCCACATACAAACAGGAAGCCAGGTCAGTTGAGCCCCTTTCTCACTAGTGAGGCCCCTCCCTCAACTGTTCAAATCTGATGCTGATTAGTCACAGGACCTGGACTGGGACCAGAAGCACCTCTTCTCTCCTTTGCCCTGCCCAGTCCTAGCTATGGCTCGCCTGAGTCACTGGAACAGCCTTGGTGTTCAGCTCACCCCCCTCTTCCTGCCAGGGCCATGTCTGAAACATTCCCCTGCTAACTCTCCCATCACCCACCCACACCCAAGCCTGCCTCTCCAGCCTCAGCTCCACTCCCTGATCATCATCTGGCAGCAGCCAGGGCTCCCCCACAACCTGCCGATACCCCCTCCTCTCTACCACTCAGCCTTTCCCACCACCAGCTAATCCCCAGGCTCAGAGGTCTCAGCTCAGATGTCCCTGCCCACTCTGGACCCCAAGCTTCACCAAGCCCAGGCACCACTGTCTGTACCTTGCTGGGGTCCAACACAGAATGGTGACTCAATACACTTGCTATGTGCGTGTACCTCTTTGTGTCGGTGGATTTCTTCCATGGCACTGAATAGTTGAAATCCACATTTTGACAAGCTGGGGAAGGTGGCCCAGTGAGTAAAGTGCTTGCTGTGCAAGTGTGAGGACTGAGTTCAAATCCCCAGAAGCTAGGGCATCTACAGTGAGATGGGAGGTGAAACTTGAGGGCAGCTGGCCTGGCGAACACTGCAGGATAGATAGACTCAAGGTAGAAGGTGAGGAGAGAGGACCAACACCTGAGGTTGTGCTCTGATGGTCACATGTTCACCGTGGTATAAGTATGCTCACACTCACTGGCATGCATACACACACACACACACACACACACACACACACAAAGAGAGATTTTAAAAATTCAAATCCAGCTCTGCTTTGGTCCCTGTTACAGACCTGCTGTGACCCCGGCTGGTCATAACCCTCTCTAGATCTGTTTCCTTATTTGTTAAATGTGGTAAAGATAGTTCTGAGCTAGGGGTTATTAGAGTTTAGATCTAAAGTATACCCCTAAAAGGCTCATGTGTTGAAAGCTTGGTCTCAACTGGTGGACCCCACTGAGAAATGTTTAGAATGAGAGCTCTGAGCTTGTCAATGGACTAACCTTGATGGATCTATAATTGGATAACAGTACTGCAAAGTGTACAGAGTGGGAGGTGAGATCTAGCTAGAGGAAGCAGGTCACTGGGTGCACACCATCACACATGCACTCCCTCGTGTGCATACACCATCCTGGAAAGAAATATCTTGTCCTCAGTTCCCTCTGACCACATATCTATCTATCTATCAATCATCTATCTATCTATGTATCTATCAATCTATCATCTATTTATCATCTATCAATCATCTATCTATCATCTATCTATCCATCATCTATTATCTAGCTATCTAACTATCTATCAATCATCTATCAATCATATATCAATCATATATCTAGCCATAATCTACCTATCTATCTATTGTCTATGTATGTATCTATCTATCTATTTATCTATCATCTATCTATCTATCGTCTATTTCCCCCAAGATGCTCTGCCTCCCTACAGGCTCAGAGACAACAAAATCAGCTGGCCACAAATTGAAGCCCTCAAAGCTGTGAGTCAAAACAAGTCCTTTTTCCTTTTAAGTTGTTTGTGTCAGGCATTTTGTCACAGCAATAAAAAGCTGACTAACACAGAGTCTTTTAAGGAGTCTCCTGGGAATAGTGTGGGATGAGAAGAGAAAGACAGGCTGACTTTCCACAGCTTCCCTGATAGCCCTTCCTTACTGCCCCCTGCATCTCCCCAGGGCAGTGGGAGGGGGCAAAAGTAGCAGAGGGAGGGATCTACTCCCCCGCAGCTTTGGGTCCCACCACCCTACACTCTCACAGAGGCTCTCAGGATCCCTGGAGTCTCCTATCATGCCCTGTGTATCCTGAGAAACAGCCTGCCAGGGTCTCTCTGTGCACTGGCATACCTTACTGCCTGCCCCTCCCTGAATGCAACAGTAATCTAATCAGGCCACTCTCCAGGTCCAGCCAGTTCTAGCCCTCCTGGTCACCTTGCTCCACAAGTATCTTGGAGCATGCCCTCCACTACCACCAGCCTGACCAGACTGACTACCAAGCTCTGCAAGCCCAAGTCAGGCTAGCCCTGTAGGGCAAACAGCAAATGGATTGTGGAGGCATAGGCTGGATGAAGCAGGAGACAGCGCTCCAAGGCACCATGGCTAGGACTAGGGAAATGAGATGAGGCCAAACAGTGGAGGGGGATAAGGTACAGGTAGGAAAATGGAGGCTCAGGAAGGGATGGGAAAGAGTCAGACTTCCCATGGCCAGAACACTGTTCAGATCCCTTCCCTGCCACTGAACTGCTGTGTGACCTCACAGAAGTCACTTAAGCTCTCTGAACCTCACAAGAAATGTTGAGATTAGATCAACAACGAGTACACCAAGTGCCTGTCCAGACAGGAGAGATGGCTCAGTGGATAAAGTGCTTGTCACACAAACATGAGGACCAGAGTGCCAATCCCCAGGATCCATGTAAATGCCAGACTGTCTTTGCAGCCTGCCTATAACTCCAGGTCTTAGAAGGCAGAAACAGGGCAAACGAACTAGGAGCGAACTCTGGGTTCAGTGTAGAAACCCTGGCTCAGAATAAGGTGGACAGGCAAGGAAGACTCGACATCAACCTCAGGCCTCCATACACATGTACATGCACACACGCCCATACATGCCCATAAACATGCACATGAGCGTGCACATACACACACACATACACACCACACTACAAACACATATATAAAAGAAAGAAAAAGGTTCCTGTCCTTCCCAAGAGAGTACCAAGCTCTGTGCCCTCCTCATTGTCTTCTCCCCTACCCACTCCTTACATAGGTGAATGGATGGATGCTGGATGGATGATGGATGGATGGACAGGTGTATGGGTGAGTGGGTAGGCATGTAGACGGGTGGATAGGTAAATGGATGGGGGATGGATGGATGGATGGACAGGTGTATGGGTGAGTGGGTAGGCATGTAGATGGAAGGATAGATAAATGGATGGATGCTGGATGGATGATGGATGGATGGACAGGTGTATGGGTGAGTGGGTAGGCATGTAGACGGATGGATAGGTAAATGGATGGGTGATGGATAGATGGATGGATGGATGGATGGATGGGGCGGGGGGAGGGGGAAGTGGGTAGGCATGTAGATGGATGGATAGATAAATGGATGGGTGATGGGTGATGGATGATGGATGGATGGATGGATGGATGGATGGATGGATGGATGGATGGGTGTATGGGTGAGTGGGTAGGCATGTAGATGGATGGATAGATAAATGGATGGGTGATGGATGGATGGATGGATGGATGGATGGATGGATGGATGGACAGGTGTATAGGTGAGTGAGTAGGCATATAGATGGATGGATAGATAAATGGATGGGTGATGGATATATGGATGGATGGACGGATGGATGGACAGGTGTATGGGTGAGTGGGCAGGCATGTAGATGGAAGGATAGATAAATGGATGGGGGATGGATGGATGGATGGACAGGTGTATGGGTGAGTGGGTAGGCATGTAGATGGATGGATAGGTAAATGGATGGGTGATGGATAGATGGATGGATGATGGATGGATGGATGGATGGATGGATGGATGGATGGATGGATAGGTGTATGGGTGAGTGGGTAAGCATGTAGATGGAAGGAGAGATAAATGGATGGGTGATGGATAGATGGATGGATGGATGGATGGATGGACAGGTATATCGGTGAGTGGGTAGGCATGTAGATGGATGGATGAATAGATGGATGATGTGATGGATGGATGGATGGATGGATGGACAAGTGTATGGGTGACTGGGTAGGCATGTAGATGGATGAATGGATGGATAAATGGATGGATGATGGATAGATGGATGGATGGATGGACGGGTGGACAAGTAGGCAAGTAGATGAGTGGGGAGGCAGGTGGGTGGATGAGCAGATAGTCCTATGAGTGAAAGGGTGACAGAGTTCTAGTTCTAAACCTGTCAGCACAAGTCAGGATTAACTGCCCCTGTGAAGTGTTGAATAAACCCTCCCTCAGGATAAGTACTTTCTTGACAGCCTTATAGACTACCCCCAAGAAACTTTTTATCCCAGAACAGTCAGAAATCCAAGTTATCTGGGTGCTCAGAGGCATAGAGACTACCACTGAGCACCTCTGACTCCACATGATGGTCCATTAGTTCCCTGGGAGCAAAATCACATTTGCCAAACACCAACAGCACAGGCCTGGCCAGGAAAGGAGCCGACCTGTCTTCTCTGAGTGAATGCAGGGTGCGAGCTGAGCAGACAGCAACAGGTGGGCAGGGAGAACTAACTCACTGGGCACACGGTTGATGGCTTTGAGGGGCCTCAGGACACGCACAGTGCGGATGGCCGACAGGTTGATGTTTTGAAGGTCCAGGGAGTACTCAACCATCCTGTGGAGAAAGGAGAGAGTGATGAATGGTGCAGGAGAGATGTGGGGCCGGCCACCCAGCCTACCCATGATGCCTGGAAAGGTGAGAGGGGAGTCAAGATCCAGCTGTGCCTCCCATAGTGCACCCCTTGAACCACCATCTCCTCCATAAGTGGGGCTGATGACAACAAACGCTCACCTGTTATGAAGATTCTACAGGTGCAGTCAGGAAAGAGTAGATACACCACAGAGCCAGCACCCTACCAGGTGGCTCCAGTCCTCTAGGTTAATCTATCTGACCCATGACCTTGGTCAATCTGGCTTCTAGAACTTCTCTCCAGTGTAGAAGCTCCCTGACCCTTCCAGGCCATCCAATTAGACTTGGAGAGCTGAAGGACCTCAGGCTGGCACTGATGGTCACTTCAGGAACAGCTTCATGAAGTCTCCCCCCCATCCAAGGGCCAGAGGGGAGCCTTTTCACCTCAGGAGCCCGCCAAGCTAGGGGGCTGAAATATCCCAATCTTATCCCAGTAAGAAGGCGAGAGGAAGCAAGAGATGACATCAAGGGCTCAGGTCAGTTAGAGAATGGGTCCTGCAGGCAAGCATCCCGCTGGGCTCGGCCCTCTTTCTGCCTCACCACACCAGGTCAGGCATTTTGTGCCTCCTCTCCAAGATATGACTGTATTTTGTGAGTTCTGCGCGCACAAAGGTCTTTGCTCAGGCTGTCCCTTCTGCCTAGAGGATGCATCCCATCTCATGATGAAAACTTACTCATGCTAGAAGATTCCCTGTACATGCCCCTGGAGTCCTCAAAACTTCTCCACACTGGGTCCACAATGCACAAGACCAGTCCCAATACTATGAACCCCCAAGTGCCTTCACCCCAGCCCCATCTTCAGTAGCACCCAGATAGGCACAGTGACTCAAATACAGAAACAGTCCTGGGGCCTTTGCTCTGCCCTAGCAAGCCTCCTTGACCTCACTCCTCCTTCTACTCACCCTGCAGCAGTTTGCCAGCAGGCACCTCTTACAGGGAGCCTGCCCAGAACTACCATGGGGCAGCTCTCCGGGACCAGCATTGTTTCCTCATTCAGTTACTTCAGTTGGATGCTACCTACTGTGAATGCCACTGCCCCTCCGCCACTGAAAAGATGCCCTTACCTGACCCTAGGTGTCCCTCACCAGACCCTCCCCCATCCTTACCCCAGCTCCAGCTTGGATGCCAGCTTCACCTGTCACCCACGTGGGCAGGGAAATGAAGGCTTTCCTACACACCCAGCAAACCTGTCCGACTGTTGTGAGCTGCCGCCCCCCTTCTGTCGCTTGAAGAGTAACTGAGCAAAAGCCTTGCCTGAGATGCCCCCATCCATCCCCTACTCCCGTCCATGCCTGGCAGATTCCTTGTAGGCTCCCCTGGGCATGCATGACCCCTACACATGCACACCTGGGCTCAACCATCCACTCACTTACTCATGGGAACCCTCAGGCAAGCACTCTCCTACTCCAGACTAAAATCCCCAGATACAGATGACCCCAACAAAGTAACGGTGAATAAAACCAGAGCTCTGAGGAGGAAAGGAGAGGAGGGAGGGGAGGAGGGACAGGTTTAGGGCAGCAGCATCAGAGAGGGTAAGGCTGAGGGCTGGCTATGGAGGAAGACAGAAGGACCCTGAGCAGGCTGCAGGGAGCAGGCCGCGTGAGGATTCCGCACGTGGGTGAGTCAAACTGTCATTTTCATACTGTGTAGAGAGAGCTCTCCCGGCAGCTGGGGGATGCTTGTGACGGAGGCACTGTGGGGGTGGCACATTCGGGCACACACACGGGGTTCACCCTGGCATGCATTTGCTCTGACACACATGTACACCCCTTGGCCTGGGGAGCTGCTCCGCCGCATCCACCCACTCCATGGACCTTCTTCTTGCCACCTCAGGTTCTCTAGATCTGGTCATGGGGTGGCACTAGCACCAGCTGGGCCCCGAGGCTCACGGTGCTCACGGTGCTGGGGGTGCAGGAGATGGCATTCCCATAGACTGTGCCCAGGCTCCAACAGGCACACCTACCTAGCTCCCATGGGGCTAGACCCACTCCCGTGAAGCCTCAAGAAAATGATTGCAGGTTTGGGCATACTGGTAGGCAGAAAAGCAGGAGCCGTTTGTGAGCTGTGTCCAGGCATTGTCTTAATGGTGTGCTTGTGTTCTTCCACTTGAGGCCCCCACATTTGAGCACAGCCAATAGTCTAAACCCACCTTGGCCCATCCTCAGTCAACCAGGGAGAGAGAGATGGCTCCAGGCATCTAGCCTCAGCAAGGAACCTTCGGGCACCTCCAGCTTGTCCCTGACTCCAAGCCCCCACACAGCCAGGTGCTCCACCATCCCCCTCTCTGCCCCTAGAACCCTCATATCCACAGCTCATCAGCGCTAAGTGAGGCCCTGCCCCAGAATGAGCCTGGGACAGGGATACGCAGGGCAGTTCAGCATCTTGGTGAGAAATTACGTTCTCTTACACTGTTTCTCCATGACCAGACAGAAGGACAGGCTCCCAGGGTCCTGGGCAGGACTTGGGTTGTGACTAGATACCATCAAAACTCATGTTGCCCAGTTAGTAAACAACAGTCTGAACACCTCCTTGCTGTGGAAACCCAACCAGACTCACAGACTTGGTCTCAGACTCAGTAACTCTACCCCACCCTGCCCCGCGACACACATATGTGTACACACACACACACACACACACACACACACACTCCATTCCTAAGTCAAAGCAGTCACAGCCCAGCAGTGCCTTGGAACTCTGGAAGCCTCAGAAGGAGCAGAGGGAAGCCACACTCTAGTCCAGCCCCTTTTTCCCTCCATCCTGGATCTGACCCCCCCAAGTCTTCAGGCAGGAACAGTCTACTGTAAAAGTTCCCAAGACCTCATCAGTTTCAGCCCTCAGACTCCCCAATGAAAATCAGTCCTCCCCCAGTGGAACTTCCTGTAGAAGTTAGTGTCAAGATCTGAACTCTGAGATTCCTAGCAGCCAATCAAAAGGGAAAATGTGATGTTACCAAGTTCTTAGCAACATGAAAGATCCAGACACTGTGAGGCCTTCCACAGAATCCATCTGCCCACACATTTCTCCTAGGCTTTCTCTCTCCTGCATTCCATGACCCTGTTGAGGGCCTTCTACTGCCTGGGGGAGCAGGATAGTGCACCATCATATGGTAAATAAGCAGTACCCTGTAAAACATCCAGTGGTTCCCATTCTTCTCCAAGGGAAAGAGGACAGAAAAGCTGGACAGGGAAAGCACTTGATTGGGAGGCAGGAACTGCGTGTTTATGTCTCTGCCCTAGGATTCTTACCATCCGGGCAGGAACTCTTGCACCAGCAAGTCCAACATGGGACAGCTGCTGACATCTCCGCCATCCCTGCAGAGACTGAGACTGCGTCACCATCCCTCTCTCCTGACAGCTGCAACAGTCTCCCTCCTGTTCTGTCTCTTGCTTCCCCCGTCCTTCCCTCCCCAGCCCAATCACAGACAACACAGATCTAAAGCTCAGATGGAACTGTGCCTCCTTAAAACCTTCTATGGTTCCCCACTGCTCTCAAAAGGAAGTCCAAGCCCCTGACCACAGCCTACAAGGCCCTCTACAGCCTGGCCTCCTCCGCCCATTCTCCTACCTCCAGTCACCCTAGGTGCCAGGCTCACAGGGTACCTCAGGCACACACCCCCTCACACCCTTTCTCCTTGAGGAAATTCATCACCACCACCACCCCCACAACCATCACCACTCTCTGTTCCAACTCCCTCCTCATGGTCCACATCTGGCTGGGATGGGTTCCCTTCCCAAGATTCTGAGCTAAGGATTCAGAGGCAATTCCAGGAAGTATGGACAGGGAGGAGACATGAAAGACAAGGGTGGCCTATCCACAGGCAATCTTTGGTGATCCTGTCCAGGAGCCCCAAGAGACCATGGGAAACATCTGGGAACCAGAGCAGCAGGCTGGGCCGAAGCTCAGGGGATGAGAACTTGCTTAGAATGTGCCAGGCCCTGGGTTCCATTCCCAGCAGGGGTGCAGGGGGGTTGGCCAGCTCCATCAGCACTTTCAGGGCAGCTGCCCCCAGGAGACGCTGTGGTGCTGGGTGTGCCCCTCTCTCCTCTGACCTTCCCACCCAGCTCCACCTGCTGCCAGAGACACTCAAGGAACACACTAGTGTGAATAACACCGCCCACCCTGTGCCCAAGGCCACCTGCAATGACAAAAGCCATCTTCTTTTCTTCCCTCCTCCACCCTTCCCCCCTTTTTCTCCTCCTCCTCCTCTTGTCACCCTCTTGTCAAAGTGCAAAGTGCATGGCCACAGGTCCTCTTCCCCAGGTGAGGAAGGAGCCTCTGAATGGATAAACAACCTCGGGGCTGACTTCCCTCAGGCCCCAAGTAAGACATCACTTTAGAGAGTGAGAAATTAATTCTTCGTTACACAGTTACCTTATCACGAAGCTTCAGTGCTAAAAGTCTTAAGAAAAAAAAAATCAACAAACCCCCACCACCTCCTGCCAGCTCCCAAACGCCTAATTAGGTAAGCAATTTTGCTTTAAAGAAGTACTTCCACCCTGGAACCACCCAAGGAAGAGAGGGACTGAGCTCAGTTCCCTGCTGTCCTCACCTTGGAGCTGGGTTGGGGTGGGGGCCAGGAGCAAGCTGGAAGGATGAGGCTGATTCTCCATGACACCTTCCCATGATGTGCCAAAGAGCCCCCTCCCTTCTCTCCTGGCTCCTAGGAGAGGCCCAGGCCTGGTTAGATGGAGACACATTCCCCCAGGTTTGGTGCCTTGATGGGGTTCAGAACAGGTATGCAGCCCCAGGTGGGGTACAGGTCCCCTCTGACTACAATGCCTAGAAATCCAGAGGCTCTGAGGACCACTGTGGCCTGAGTATTATGCCAATCCAGAGGCAAGCTAAGGCAAGCACTGCAGAGAGGTGGGATCCTAAACATATAGCCTCCCTCAGCTGATTCTGAATCCCAGCTCTACACTCCTCCA